GGTCTTAGAAAGCCAGAGTTAAGGTGTCTTGTCTGGGCTGAATTCTCACCTGGAGGCTCTGGAGTAAAAAATCTGCTTCCAAGCTCGTTCTTGTGGGTGGCAGAATTTATTTCCTTGTGTCTGCAGGGTTGAGGTCCCTGTTTCCTTGCTGGCACCAATCTTAGCTCCTCAAGCTCGGTCCTATCCCTTGCCACATGGCTCCTCCATCTCCAGGCAGCAGCGGCTCATCAAATCTTTATTCTACTTTGAGTCTCTGACTTCACCTTCTTTGATCAGACCGAGAAAACTCCCTGCTTTAAGGGGCTCATGTGATTAGGTCAGGCTTACCAGATAATCTCTCCCTTTCCCAAGGATAACTGATCTGGGTCTTTAAGTACGTCTGTAAAATCCCTTTACGGGGGTACCCATATTAGCAGTTCCTTGAATAACTAGGAGAGGTGTGTGTACACCGGGGCTGGAAATACTGGGAGGCCATTTGGAATTCTGCTTGCCATCTGCACCTACTTCTACAGAAGTTGTAAGGCCTAAATTAACAAGTGTATGTAAAGTGCCCGGCACATACCAAGCATGTTTCAGGAGAAGAATTTGCATGCAAAAAATCAGCCATTTGGGTTTCCAGGATTGATGAGAACTTGGTTGGGGTGAAGAAATGTGTTAGGTTTTGGAAACGATGAAACAGCCTTCAGTTCTTGGCTAGGGGATTCATTTTGATCTATTTGGAAACAAGAAGGGCCTATCCTCCTTGGATGAACGGCACTGATGTTTGCCCTGATTTAGGTCTTTGCTGTGGCAATGGCAGTGAGGACCAGGCTTTGGAATGAAGGAGAAGAAACCCGAACGTGGCCTTCTGGATTAGCCCTTTCGGAAACCATCTGCTTGGGGCCTTTGATTCTGAGAGGAGCGGAGAGGTTTCCTCTAGCTGCAAGTTCAGGGATTCAGAAACCACGAAAATAATATCTTTTCCAAAACCATTCAAACAAGGCTCTAATAGGGAGAAACGAGAAATGGAAGTTGGGATTCCCACTCCCTCTGCTAACCGCACACAGGTCGTGGTTGAGGTCCATTTCAAACTGAAGGAGGCCAGTTCCTTTCTTAGCCTGGTATTGTTGGCGGAGAAACCGGACAAGGGGCCAAGGCCCTGTTGACTCTGGGAGAAGGGCAAATAGCCCCCATCCATGAGTAAGAACCTGATTTTTATCCACCCTGAGGGTTAAACTCCCTGCTCACAAGAAATCTTGATTCCAAATGGTCTGGGGCAGGCACGAAATAAGCAGCAAAGAGATAAAAACATCGGGGGGGAGACTGTATTATTCATTCCACAGATGCCATGGGGGAAAGGAGCTTATTTTCCCAAAACTCCTAGACTAGATAATTCTTATATCCAGCTGAATTCCTTTTCATCTCTCCTGGCTGCTTCTCCCTCTTCTCCTCTATCCGCCTCAGCTTCTGAATTTTCTCAAAGCTTCTCCAGGAAAAACTTCAGCCAATTTACTCCCCTTGACCAACTGTCATGTTTGAAAAGCTGCCCAATCTCTTTGCTGTGATTTTAAAGAGAGACTCAGGACTAGGTTTTCTTCCAGTGACAGCAAGGAGGTATAGGAGAGGGGAAGACAGGAGCTTCCAATGCTGGGAAATACACACAGAGATACGCACACACACGCGCACACACACACATTCACTTACACACTTCTAAGAAATGCTGAATCTGTAATTGCAGGATAATATAACCTTCCTGATTTTATTGTCCTATGGAGGATGTGAAGAAAGAAAGGCAGGGACTCATATTTGTGCTGTAGCTGTTGGAGTTTGTACACTAGGGAGGCATGACCCTGTTTGACCTTGCCTGTCAAAATCACAGGGTTACAGAGATACCACATATCGACCAAAGATATGTGGGCAAAAGGCCAGGCCAAGCTGACCAGTTTTAACATGTCACAGGACAGACATTGTCTGGCTCCGGCAGCTTGTGGGCTAGGAAAGAAATCCGAAGCTCCACATCTAAGAATGCAAGGACGGCAACAATGCGAATTGTCACCTGTGCTCCAGGTAAGCCTGCCCTACGTCCTTATTAAAGAAAAGGCGTAAGAGCAACATGACTCTGGCTTGTTGGTTTATGGCCTGAAGTAATGAAGACTCCATCTCCCTTGTTCCCTGTGCCTTTCCTCTTCACTATTCAAGACAGGTGCCAAATGTGTCATCGTGCCTGATGGAGCCTGGCGTTGTCTCGCTGGCTGTGATCAGCAGTCGACTACCTGACAGAAACACTCTCCCTGATTACATTTTTAACCTGGATTGTGCCACGCTTACTTACATTTTGTGGGGGAAAAGAGAGGAAGAAGAAAAGAACAGTGGCTTATGGAGGTTTGCAGAAAACTCCAGGGTCGGATAGCACACGGACAGCCCACCCTGCACACAAGGTGTCTTCCCATTTTTAACCTAACTAAATATTGACGCCCAATGAACAAATATTGATTGAGAACATTCAAAGCAATGTACAAGCTCCCCTTTCTACTGGAAATCACAGAGGAATGGAGGGGTGGGGTGGGCAGGAGATAAGCCTTCACCTACCTCTCACTGGTAATGAACTCAGTGCTAGACAGATACTTTCTGACTCCTTGCCATTCCTTATTAGTATGGTGGTAAAAATTTTTAAAAAATCACTCAGACTAACAGTCTCTTCTGGGCAAGTGGTGAAGAACGCTGATTTGGCTTATTTTATTACCCGCACCTCCACTGGCGTGGCAGACGATTTGCTGATACGATTATTTGGGATAGCACTCGATATTAGGTATTGGCATGGTGGCATCCACATATGTTCATAAATCACAAGATTTTAAATATTGGCGCGGTTGTGGCTACAATTGTTTGTGCAAGAGAAAAACAATGACCAAGGTCATTCATGGTTACTTCCTTTGCTGTCCTTCTAATTATTAGTCTGCACTGGGATCTGGAGGCTTCCTTGGCCCTGCACAAGCAGCAAGCACCAGTGCCTCTTCAGCAATTCCACGTCCTCATATGGTCAGGGCACACTCTCACTTAAGGCAATGAGCCACTTCCTCTCACAATAGAACTCCAAGCGTGCTTCAAATTCACACTGGCTAATGAGTCTTCTGTGTTCCATTTTTAACTCTGATATAAGTAACAACACATCTGCTTATCAACACGATCATGTTGACGTTTACGATACAGTTTGGGTGGAGGGAGGGTGTTCTCTGCCTCTGAGGTCCAGTGTCAGTGTTGATAAGTGCAGCTGACCCTGCTGGTGTGGCCCACAAACCTTGCCTGGGAAACTGTCATATTCGGGCAACCACACAGAACCACTCTGTGACCTCGGAATACAGCAGGGTCACCAGCCCCTATCAATCCTGTTAAATGACCAAAATCATTTCTGGTCAGTAAATGTGTGCATGTGTGTTTTGTTTTTGTTTTTATTTTGACATGTAAGGATGTGGAAATCAAACTTAAAATTGACTGTAAAACAGTTTGGTGACAAAGAATCTTGTTTTTCTGTCAAAATATTCCCCCAGACGTTCCTTTAGGACCAAAGTAACACAGGGAAGTTTAAGGCTACAGAAATGTGACTAAACGAACACTGATCACATTTACAAAAGCCAGTGACTTTGACCACAATCCCTTGTTCTCAAATCTGCAGCAGACATGTAGATAACTTTTCCAAGGACAAAATCTCCTAGTTCACTGATCCAGACGCCCATGTTATTGACAAAATAAAGGTAATATTGAAAATGACAGTGTCTGAGAAGCAATCTCAAATTGCCTTTTATTATTGCACACAATTAGCAATGGAATTGAGAACCACTTTCTTTCTAATATAAAATCATCAGCCACAGAGTTGCAATTGAAATGTATCACAGCGATTCAGCCAATAACTCAACTTCCTCCTTTTTAAAATTTTTCTGAAATTTTTTTTGCCCCTTCCCCCAGTCTCAGCATTACAGAATGAATAACGAGCAGTTACATTGGGCTAGCTCTGAGTTTCAACAGAGATTTATGGTCTTCCCATCCTCCGGAGGGACTATGAAACCACAGATGACATCTCATTTTGAAATCTCTTGTATTAAGAAGAGATAGGTGTGGTGCAGAAGCGAACTCCGCATGCGAGTGATACTCAGACAAGTTCTGTACTTCAAAACAGAGTCCCTAACCCCCACTGAACGCTTCCTGCCACTAGCTGCGGATCTCAGCAATGACCGTTCTGCCTCCCCAAACGTCCCCATTTTTTTTTAAATATCCTTAATTTTATTCTAAATAGGTTTGATATTTTTCCCCTTTACATTCTGCTTTGGGTTTTAAAAATTCCCAGGCAGATTTTTATCTCTTCTGCAGAAGCATCGAGCCTCATCCAAGTCAGTTCAAATCATCACGATAATACAAGGTAATAAAACTGCCTTCAAGTTTTAACACTCGCAGGAGAGGGACAAGCCACGGTTTAAATTAAGAGCAAGGGGGTGGCTGTGTCAGAGACCTGAGCCGCAGTTCAGCCCTTGTGCTGTGACAGTGGGCAGAGGAGTAAGGGAAGGGAAAGGGCTGGGTTTGGGGGAGAGGCATGCTTTCTGGAAGGTGCTCAGGTCTGCCCCAAGAGCAGAAGTGAAGTGGTGAATTCGAACCAGCTCTGGAGTTGCTCCGTTTGGGGACAGAGCCGGAGTCCTGCAGCGGCTTTCCACATCAGGACCGAGAGAAAGGAGGTGGGAATGGACCCGGGAACAAGAGTGGGGCTAAGTAACTTACGAACACAGGAGGAGTTCGAGGGGAGGGGCTCAGAGCGTTTCTTCGGCGCGCGGCTGCATAAAACTTTCTCGCACTGAGCTCTCACTGCAGGACTGAACTCTGAGGCCCCCCGCAGCTGGTGGGGTCCGGGTGGGGAACACTCTAAGCCCAGTGCCAGGGACGGCGGGGGAGACTAGACGGGGGCGCGGGGGGCGGGCCCCGGGGAGGCCGGCGCGGGCGCGCGCGCTTTAGGGTCCCCGGGACAGGGTCCTCACCTGTTCCAGCGGGCCACCTTCCTCCGGTAGTACCGCAGCGCCTCCTGGCTGGCCAGCAGCGAGTCTTCGGGTCCGAGGAGAGGCGGCTCCTCCAGGACATTGTACAGCGGGTGGGCGAAGAGGGCCTGCAGCTTGGAGCCCGAGCCGCTGCGGCCACCGCCGGCCGGCTCAGCCCGGGGCCCGGCTCGGGAAAAGTTGTGCGCGACCGTGCCGGGGGCCGAGGAGGCTGCGGCCGCGGCCGGGGCCGGGGCCAGGGAGGAGGCGCGGCTGGCGCACGGGCAGCCCCGCGGGCGCTCCCGGCGCCGCAGCTGGCGCTGCACTTGGGGCCAGAGGTGGAAGTAGAGGTCGGCGGAGAGCAGCGCGCCCAGCAGCAGCAGGGTCAGCAGGCGGTCCCGGCGCAGCCCGGGCATGGCCCAGCCGGGGCGCGGGCCGGCAGGGTGCGCCGGCCAATGGGGGTGCCGGTGGCGGCCGGGCCGTCTCCGGGGACCCGGGAGGGCGCTGGGGTCGCAGGCAGAAGAGGCTCCCGGAGTCCCGCCCGCGGGCCGGCCGGGCTCGGGGGTGTCGGAGCGCTCGCCGCGCGGGCTGGACCCCCTTTGAGAGGTGTCGCCCCTGAACTTGGGGACCGGGTGCACAGAGCGCCGGGGCTCGCGGTGTCAGCGGGCGTCGCTTCTTCGCGCGGACTGGAGCCGAGAGGATGGTGGTCTCCCGCGCGTCCGCTTCTCTCCCCTTTTCTGCCCCGCGCCCGCCCGCCCGGGCGCCCGCGGCAGGTGACAGGCCCAGAGCGCGAGTGCTGGCTGCCACCGCGGGCGGACGGGCGGCGGGGCCGGGGACGACCGCGAGGAGGAGAGTGGAGAGCGGGCGGCGGCGGGCGGCTGCAGAGCCCGGGGCGTCTCTCCCGAGGATGCTGTCGCTCGGCGGCTGCTGCGACTGCTCCCGCGGCTCCTTCTGCGGGCGGCGGGGACGCCGGTGCTCCCGGCTGGCACGGGCGGCGGGAGTGGGGAGTTGGCGAGGCGGGGGCGGCCCGGGGAGCTTGTGTGCGCGCCCGGACTCCCAGAGGCAGAGGTAACGCGGGGCCTCCCCCCGCCTGGCCTGGCGCCGGCACCTCCGCCCACTCTCAGCTGGCACCTGCCTCTGGCGCAGCTCGACAGCCAACTCCCGAGCCCTCTGCCGGCTGCGCCCGTCCACCTTGCCACCCGCCCCGCTGCCTGCGCCTCCCTCCCCACCCCACCTCTCGCCGCCGCTCCAGGCCTCCGACTGTCCCTGCTCAGGTCTCAGTCCAGACACTTTGGGGGACTCAGGCGAGGGGCCTGAAGCTTTTAATTTCCATTTTTATTTTTAGAAAAAAGACACCACAGCCCCCTAAAAGCCTTCTTTTCTGTAAGCTCTGCCAGATGCGTGTGTGTTGGGGGGGGGGGGGAACCTTTCCCCCCTCGGAACCCCCCATCAAGAGCAGGGCACATACTAGATTCATGACAGCTGCACGGCACGTGCCTGGCACATAGTAGGTACTCAGGAAACACCCACTTGGTGAATGAAGGATCTTGGCCTTTAAAAATAAGGCACCAGTTTTACCTAGAATCTTGGTGATTTCCTGTTTGGATGGAGTCTGATTCCTACTCCGCCTGTGCTTTAAGAAGAGGAAATGTTTCTTGCGCTGAAGGAGGGAGGGGCCCTGCTGACCCCACTCCGAACTTTGGAGTGTGAAAGTAGTCCACCCAAATGAATCACTGGGGAGCGCGGTCAGGCTTTCTCCTGATATCCTGTGAGGTAATTTGTACTCCCCCCACCCAACTTTCCTTTTGAGGAAGAGGGAGGGAGCCCGGAACTCCTGGCTCCTCTATTAATGACCTGGTAGTACAGTACAGCACGAGTCCCATGGGGGAGGCGGCCCCGCCCTGCCGAATGTTCAGGAAAAGGCATCTCCTGCCATGAGCTGCCCGCCCAGGCAGCAAAACTTTCCATGTATGTTAATCCTACTCTTTAACCCCCTCCCTTCCCTTGCTGGAGTCAAGAACTTTCAGGCATTCTTTGGACTTGTGAGTTCAGACCAGAATTCTTTTCCCTGTGGTTCAGTGGAAGATTTCTTGCCACCCTTGACATTCCCTACCTAGGAGATGTAATAGAACCTACCTCCTAGGGCTATTATGAGGCTTAAATGAATTAAAGCACAGTTATGGGTCACATCTGAGAAACGCATCCTTAAGCAATATTGTCATTGTGCGAACATCACGGAATGCACCCACACAAGCCTAGATGGCAGAGCCTACTACACACCTAGGCTACAAGGTATAGCCTGTTGCTCTCAGCCCACAAACCTGTACAGCATGTTACCGTATTGCACACTGCAGGCAATTGAAACACAGTGGTAAGTATTTGTGTATCTAAACATATATACACGAAAGAGAGGTACAGTAAAAATAAGGTACTATAATCTCATGGGACCACCCGTTGTATTGACTGAAACATTGTAATGCGGCATATGACTCTATTTAAATTGCTTAGAATAGCCTCTAGCTCTGCAGTCCCCAAACCCTGGGCCACGGAGTACTGGTTCGCGGCCTGTTAAGGTCCAGGCCCAGCCACAGAGTTCCCACCCCCTGTCGCCTGTCTGTGGAAAAATTATCTTCCATGTAACTTGGGAAAGGGGGGGGTGCATACAGCAGGAGGTGAGTGTTGGAGGAGGGAGGGAAGCTTCGCTGCTCCCCATCACTGGCAATACCACCTGAGCCCCGCTTACCCCCCGCCCCCCAAAATTGTCTTCCATGAAACTGGTCCCTAGTGCCAAAAAGGTTGGGGACTGCTGCTCTAGCTCATGTTAAATAAGTGTGAAATATGTGTTTACTATAATTATGGTTACTCTTGGTTGCTGTAGTACGCTAGGTTAGGTGACAGACTGTTCATGGGTAGGACAAAAATAGAAAAGGATGGAAAAGGCAGACAGCAGAAAGGAACCATCTTCATGAGTACAACACTGTGGCCTGAACGCCCAGGCCAAGCGAAAAACCCCAAGATGATACTATTCCCAGCTCCCTCACATACCTGGGTATGGTGGGAATTTTGAGGGGTTCTTGAAACTTCTCCTTTTTTATCTGGAATTAACTTTTAACTGGTGTCCAATTTCTGAGAAATGTTGCAACTTCTGTTGTGTCTAGTTAGGCGTCATGGCCAGTGGATGAAGAAGTCAGGCATTGCACCATGATGCTGTATCTGCAATAACTATGTGGCAAACTGGTGTGCATTGTTCTGGACCGCCACGGGACATGGACATGAAGATGTCACATGTCTCATGACTTCAATTCTCCCCAACCCATAAGGTCATGCTCCCTTAGTAGATGCTTTTGTTTGGCCCCAGTTTAGGGAACAATATTTCCAACTTGTTTGGAGATTATCTTAACATATTTTTCTGCCTGTTAAAGGTCAAGGACAGAGTTCTGCACATGGAAGTCAGATACTGGTGTGAATGAAGTTGGACTAGGAGAGTGGAAATCCCACCAGCAGGATTGGCTGGTGAGATGCCGCTATCCTTAAGGTTTGCCTCAGATCTCTTTCCTTCTTCCACAAATGAGCCTTCCCCTTCTTCTCCTGCTCTGATCCTTCACGTCTTGGCTCCTGGCTTCCTCTCCAGCCTCATCTACGTACTCTCCATCCACACCAAAGTTTGCAGGGGCCCATCATTTTGTGTCAAACTTCCCCCTTAGAAGTCCATCCCCCTTTTTCCATTTCTACTGCTCTTTTTGTCCCCAGAGCCTTGTAATTTCTTCCTTAGACTTGCAAATAGTCTCCTGACTGGTCTCTCTGCTTTCAATATTGCCCCATTTCAGTGCCCACCCACACTCTCGCCGGAGTGAGCTTTCCAGCAAGCAGATACAACCAGGATTATTTTTCTCCTGAAAACTACCATAGCCTCTCCTTGTCTCCTGATTAGGTCACTTTTTGTGACAGGGCTCTGCATGGTCTGGTTTCTATCTCCTCTCTCTTTGTAGGCCCTCCCCCCATCTTCACCCCATAATACTTTCTGTAATTCCCAAGTGCTTTAAGCTCCCACAGACATGCTTTTTCTTTTTCCTACCTGGAAAACACCCATTGTCCACCCAAGCTTTGGCCACTTGTTGCATTTTCTTTGATGTTTATCCTCATGTCCCCTAAACTCAGTGCCATGTGCTGTCATGTGCCTGCATAGCTCCTCAGATATTCCTCTATGATGGTATTGGCCATGTCGTGTTTAGTCGTTTGTATGTGTTATGGGTAGAATATGTCCCCCTCTCAAATTAATATGTTGAAATTCTAACCTCCAATACCTCAGAAGGTAATGTTATTTGAAAATAGAACAATAGCAGACATAATTAGTTAAGGTGAAGTCCTGTTGGTGTAGAGCAGGCCCTTAATCCAATATGACTGGCGTCCTTATAAAAACTGGAAATTGGAACACAGAGACACTCACATGGGGAGAGCACCATGTGAAGATGAAGGCAGAGCTCGAGGGAATGCTTCTACGAGCCAAGGACTGCCACACATTGCCTGCAAACACCAGAAGCTAGGAAAGAGGCAGGGAACAGAATTCTCCCTCATAGCCCTCACAAGAGACCAACTCTACGGACACCTTGACCTTGGATCTATAACCTCTAGACTCCGAGACAATAGATTTCTATTGTTTAAGCCACCCAGTTTGTGGTGCTTTGTTACAGCAGCCCTTGTAAATTAACACAGTACACACGTGTCCTCCCCACTGGAGCACCACCGCTTGGGCGTGGAGGGAGAATTTTACTTATCTATGTACACAGAGCTCTCAGGAGGGGGCCTATCATTTGGGAAATGCTCAAGAAATGTTTGCTGATTGAAGGCAGGGGTATTGGCCATCTCTGCAACTGTGGAATCTCATTCAGGGCCTAGTACAGGGCCTTGCAGAGCCTTAACTATAGTTTTTTATGGAGACATAAAGAAATATATGTAGGAGACATAAAGAAATATATGACACAATTCCTTCTTGACTTCAAGAATCTTTTGTGATCATTAGAGGGACAAGATCTGTCTCTACCTGTAAGCCAATTAAGAAAAAGTGCAAGGTGGTACTCTGAGCAGATTAGGAATCTGTGCCAATGCATGCATTAAAAGGCGCAAATGCAAAGGGCACTTGTGTTTCCTTTTAGACTAGCTAAATATCAAGCTCTCCACTTCCAAGAGTTAAATCATGAAAACAACAGAGTCAACATTTAAACACCAGAGTTCCTCTATCTGTGAAGGTTATATTCTATTTTTATCTTGCACGTGTTCCCGCATTGCCTAGAATATGACTAGTTGTTCCTTGTTTGGTTGATTTTCTACACTGGACTCTAACTCTGTGGGTTCAAGGATACCAGGCTTTCTCTTTCCTTTTCCTCCATTCACAGGATTTCACACCCAGCAAGGCATGCAGATAAAAATTAAT